GCCTTTATTTTTCCGATGTACATTATTTATCTGCACAAGTTATTTAGTAGTCTGGTCCTGGCCTCGTCACTACTTCGCCGAGGTTAGGCTAGGCACTTACTAGCACATGGGGTCGGTTATGCTGATACTACACTCTGCACTCTTTTGTGCAGATCCCAGTGCTGCAGATTTCGGACCGCAGTGAGATTTTCCGCTTCTGTTCATCAGGCGACCCGAGGTAGTCCTGCAGGCGTCCGCAGGCCTTGGCGTCTCCCTCTATCTATTTTTCCTGTTTCTTTTATGTAATCCCAGAGACAGTATTTTGTTAATTCTTTCAGACCTTTATTTGTAGTACACTTAGACAGTCTGTGAAGTTCTGACACCAATCTTGGGTAGATTTGTTATGGAATGGCATTAGCAGTATTATTGAACTTGAAATTGAATCTTCCGCTTGTTAAATTTTGATGATTATTAACTGTTGGCCTATAACTATTAACGAATTTAAAAAAAAAATGGAAACAAGGCAAATAATTCAGTTGATTGGCTTGCCTAGCTTTCACTAGTAGGCGCCATCACGACTCCCGAGGGTGGAAAATTCGGGTCGTGACAGTTGCTCTCTTGTTTCAGTTCAAAATAATTAATCTCTTGTTTCATGGATTTGCTATAAAATTCAAATATAGCTATAAATAATAAATATGCTGAAAATATAGCTACGAATAGTGTGTGTGTGTATATACATATATATATACACACACACACACACACACACACACACACACACACTCACTTAGGTCAAATCCGGATTAGTGGGACAATAACTGGACCTCACAAAGCATCCTAACTAGGGGTGTACAAAGAAAACCGACAAATCGCACCAACCCGATAATTCGAGTCAAATCGAGAAAAAAAAATCCGACTATGGTTCGGTTTGATTTGGTTTGGTGTTGGAAGAAAAATCCGACCATAATTGGTTTGGTTTGGTTTTAACTAAGAAAGTCGAACCGAAACCAAACCAACCCGACAATACATACATAGAAATTTTAGATATATTTAATACATAAATATACTTATTGTGATGTAATTTATAAATGTTTCTCAAACTTTTTCATAATTTTAACTTTTAATGTATTATTTCAAGGTTGGACTTAGAACTTTTGAATGTTTCAATAAATTTTATAGCCAATAATATTAGTAACCAAATAATGTTAACAAAAGTCCAAACCATAATCAAATCACTAATGCCAACAAAAGACATTCAATTTAATACTAGGAATGACAATGTATTGAATATCTATTTTTTGTTTTGCAATGATTTAGATAAAAATGCATACCCTATTTTTATTTTTCTTTAGCGTTTAGTCATGTAATTAATACTCCCTTATTACTCTACTTATTTTAGCATGACTTAGTACTTTTAGATTATGTTTATTTTTATTATGGCTTTTTAATTAGCAATATTTATATTACGT